CCAATTTTCCCAGCACCATTTATTGAAAAGACTGTCTTGACTCCATTGTATGTTCTTGCCTCCTTTGTCAAATATTAATTGAGCATAGTGGTTTGGGTCAATTTTTGGGTTCTCTATTCTATTCCATTGGTCTATATGTCTGTTCTTGTGCCAGTACCAGGCAGTTTTGAGAATAGCGGCTTTGTAATACAGCTTGATATCTGGTATTGAGATCCCTTACTTTGTTCTTCTTTCTCAGGATTGTGAAGCCTTTATTTTATGACTGAATTTAATGACCTGACTCTAGTCTGAATTACCCACTTAAGCTTTAGTGGTTTAATGGACATGCAAATTTGATCATGTTACTCTCCTGATTAAAACCCTTCACTGGCTATATAATCAATTACTAACCTCTTAGAGGCCTTTTCACCATTAGTTCACTTGCTCACCCAGGCTCATCTCCTATTACTCTGCGATACACTCCCTAAACTCCTGAACCTGGAAAAGTTTTATGCCTTTTTTTTAGCATGCCATTTCATTTATATGGAATTCTCTTCCACTGGAAAATTAATCTTATTTAAATAACTCTGCTCAAACATCATCTTACCTTGAAACCTGAAATATAATATGAATCTTGAAACAAAGTAAAGCTAACTTCTTGGGCCAGGCATAGTCTTTGTCTTCATCAGACTTATCATTAGTCCAGGGCAGTGGTCGGCAATCTGCGGCTCGGCAAACTGCGGCTCGCGAGCCACATGCAGCTCTTTGGCCCCTTGAGTGTGGCTCTTCCACAAAATACCGACTTCTGCGCATGGGCCACGAAGTTTCAATCGCACTGTACGTGGGCGCCCGCACGTGATATTTTGTGGTATTTTGTGGGAGAGCCACACTCAAGGGGTCAGAGAGCTGCATGTGGCTCGCGAGCCGCAGTTTGTCGACCACGGGTCCCGGGTGAGTCTACATAAGGAGTTCATAATTATTTGCCTGTGCTGTCTGACAGGTTTGAGAAAGCAGCAATGAATATAAAATTGCAATTGCATTATTGTCTCCACGGTTTCAAGTAACATTTACATTTGGAAATGCAGTTTCCCAAATAACTAAACATATTTCAACATCATTTTGTTTGATGACAGTGGTGTCAAAAGAATATAACCCTGTTGCCCTAGCTGGTTTGGCTCAGTGGGTAGAGCATTGGCCTTCAGACCAAAGGGTCCTGGGTTTGATTCTGGTCAAGGGCACATACATACCTTGGTTTCAGGAGTTCTCTCACATTGATGTTTCTCTTTCTCTCTCTCTTTCACGCTCCCTAAAAATCAATGGAGAAAAAAATCCTCAGGTGAGGATTAACAAAAACAAACAAACAAAAAAAGAATATAACCATGTCTTTAAACATGAATTTTACATACATTTACATTTTACTATCTCTCATCTAATCTAGCTGTTTTGAAATAATTAAGGACACTGCAGAAAACAAAGGGAAGAGCTAGAGAGGCAAATTAGCGTAGTAAAGCTGTATGTAAAACCGCCCCAAAAGCAACAGACCAGACTGCAGGGGTCCTCAAACTATGGCCCGCTGGCCACATGCAAATACAAATATTGTATTTGTTCCCTTTTTGTTTTTTTTTACTTAAAAATAAGATATGTGCAGTGTGCATAGGAATTTGTTCATAGTTTTTTTTTAAACTATAGTCCGGCCCTCCAACGATCTGAGGGACAGTGAACTGGCCCCCTGTTTAAAAAGTTTGAGGACCCCTGGACCAGAGGATAACCACCACCAGGTTGGCACTATCAGCCAACTAAAAGTGCTTAAAATACGAAGAGGCGGTGACTAGGATGAAGCCCCTTCCCTGGGGAAATGAATATTTGTAGTTTAATCTACCCCAAGTGTTAGTGCACAGGACAGTGAAGATAAGAATATGCAAAGGGAAAACGCAGAGTGGAGTGTGGTACTGAGTTGGAGGTGATAAGAGGCGAGTGAAATGATGGACAAGGTAAGTTTGCTAGATTTAGCAAATTTAATATTTGAGATATATCTATATTTAAAAATGACAAAATAGATCCAGAAACATAGAAGCATGAAACAGACGGACGAATTTCAGAGAGAAGGCGGGAGTGGGGTGGGTGGGTAGGGAGAGATTAACCAGAGAATTTATACGCATATATGCATAGCCTAGGGTGTGGTGAAGGCTGGGAGGGGCGGGTGCGTTGTGGAGGCGATCAATGGGAAAAAAACAAAACAAAAAACGAAGGGGATATCTGTAATGCTTTCAACAATAAAGATAAGTTAAAAAATAAAATTAAAAATGGAAAAAAATGATACATTATTTATCTGAAATTCAAATTTAACTGCGCATCCTGTATTTTATCTGGCAAATGTAGGAAAAGAGAAAAAGACAGTATTACTCTGACGTTCCCGGTTGTGTAAGAAAAACTTGCAAAGGCCGGCCCTACTAGAAAAAAAGCGGTTGCACTAAGGTACCTGAATCTTAAGAGAAGCAATTTCCGGTCTTGGGCCCTGGGAAAACGAGGGGGGAGGGGAAGAAAGGACTAAGGCCTCTAAGTTCAGTCCTCCAGTGTCCCACAATCCTCTGCTCTCGCTTCCTCTTTCCTCGCTCAAGATGGCGCTGCTCGCGATACATTCCTGGCGCTGGGCTGCCGCGGCGGCTGCTTTCGAAAAGCGTTTGCACTTCGCGATTCTGATCCGGCCTCTAGTCTCTGTGCGCGGATCAGGTTCGCAGCGGGGGTCACGTCAGCTCGGCGTCCCAGGAACTGCTCGAATTTCCCAGGTAAGATGCCTTTCACATGGAAGAGTAGGGTTCTGAAGGGCAAGGGGGGAAACGTTGCCCTCTTAACCTCGGATCAGAAAAGGAGCCAAGAAGAAAGGTTGTCAGGGCTATCTCGGAGTAGCAGTAAGTGAAGTAAATTAGGGTTAGTAATTTGAGAAAGGGGTGAAGGAAACCTTTGGGGTACAGCAAATGGGAATGGGACCGGCGGTTCTGGACAGAGGTCATCCGGAGCACCAGTAACTCTCGTAGGATTTACAGTGTTCTCTTAGTTTAAGAGATGGGGTGGACACCATTCCCATACTGCTTACCTTGGTAAATGCAAGGAAAACTGACTACTTTCCAAAGTTAGTAATGGAATTTGGGACCAATTTGCCAATGGTTCTGATTTTACTCAGTCGGAAGTAGCATTTGGAGAGTACTCAAGAAGATGGCAAACTAAGTATAAACAAGCGGCAAATTGGGTTGGCACCAGTTATCCCCCTTGCTGACAGGGCTCCTTGATAAGCCAAAACCGTAATTATCTTTTTCTCCAAAACATAGACCGTCCTAAATTTATATGTAAGCACGATTGTCCTTTGAACCGAAAATAGTGCTCTTCTGTGTACACAGGTCGCTTTGGAAGCCATAAGGCTACTTATCTTTAACTACTGAATGTAGTTATGGTTATAGTGCCTCTTAATATTTGTGTCCATTATTATCTGTTAAGAACAGGGTTTTAAAATTTTTTATTCGCATTTGCTCTACTTCAGTGTACCTTTTTATTTCTTACATATCGACCAAACATTTAATTGCCACCACTTGTTCATCAGTATTACTAAAGTATTATCAGCTTTGTATGAGAAATAACCTCTTAAATTTTGATTCTTCATCAACAAATATTTAATATCTACTATGTACATAGCACTATGCTACATAATGGGGTACCAAGAGAAACATCTTATTGCCTTCAAGATTGGTCAATTTCATTAAGGAGATTGGATCTATGCATTACAAGAGTCACTAAAAAACAATGTAGTAGTTGTAGTTGCTGTAGACATCCAGAGGAAATAGTGATAATGAAGGGCCAAATTATAAAATGGATCTCATACTGGTGATAGAACTGGGAGAACATCCCAAGCAGGGACAATAGGTAATGATGCTAGGCATGTGGAATGAATTCATTCATTCAATAATTAATGAACAGAACAAAATATAGGCCCTGTCCTTAAAGTTTAAAAATCTAGTAGCGGAAATAGATTAAGTAAACAGGCAATTATAATACAATAGTGCAATGATGGAAAAGGTCCAAAGTACTGGAAGATATACATGAGGGGCATCAAGTCTAATCTTGAGGTGGAGAAAATTGCCTTCAGTGATAGATACAAAAGCAAAGACCTGAAACATTAGGAGAAGTTAGCCAGTTAAAGAGGGAATAGCATGTGCAAAGGCCCAAATGTAAGAGAGAACATGGTCCTTTTGCAGAACTGTATATGGTTTACACTAGTGACTAGTGAGTTCAAGATAGGAAGTGGCAGATTAGGCTAGAGAAGCAAATCCAGATCGTTTTATTAAGGTTTTAGGAATACTTTATTGTTGAAAGTTTGTAACATGATCTCCTGGGAACCATTCTTGTTCTGTAGTCCTCTAATAAGCCAAATAAAATTAAGATAAAATTTGTAGGACTTTGTCCGCCTGGAAGAATGAAGGGGAAAAGAAGTCATTAGGTGTTTCAGAGGAGGTGATGGCAATAAAATGTTAGCATTAGGTGTTTCAGAGGAGGTGATGGCAATAAAATGTTAGCGTTCTCTTTTCATGAACACTATCCCCACAACTTACTTACTCCACTGTCCTCTACACTTTACCATTTCCTTTGATTACAATGTCTGTGACGTGAAAAACAAGGGAAAGATGTTTTCTTTGCCTTCTACTTCTCAGAGGCATGCAACTCTTGCCATCTTTTTTAAAAAAATGCATTTAACAGGGAGATGAAGGAACTACTATAAAGCTTTTAAAGTAGAACCTGATATAATATGAGGCACATTCAAATTACTTAGTGACTTGTGATTTAAGATTACAAAGTAAATATTGAATGCAATCTTCGGACAATCATTAGTATGTAGCATAATATTTTAGAGCTGGAAAGAAACCTTATTGGCGTGTTACAAAATGTTAGTGGGTTGGATCAGCACTTTTTTAAAGGTGAAATTTAATAGAATAGGAAAGGAAGTATTGCTGTGTACATATTAAAGGACATATTGCTTTATGTACTTTTATATGTTTATACACATACATATTCCCACGTATATATGATTACTGGGATGCATTGTAAATGTGTTTTTCACACTAGAGCCTGTGTATAATATGGTAGTAATTAGCTTCATGTGTCTGTTTAAATTAAATTAAGTTAAAGACTTAATTTCTCAATTGCCACATTCTAAAGTCTGAATAACTACATGGATATGGAACATTTCCATTATTGCCGAAAGTTCTGTTGAACAGTGCTGCTATGGAGAGAATACCATATCCGGCCCTTCTAATTCTGCAGATGAGGAAACTTAAGTCCTAATAATTGACAGCCTTTAAGGCCATTCATTCATTTATTGTCTTCTGTGGGTCAGGTATTTATAGAAGGGTTGCTAAGACTCTGGCAGACACTAGGCACACAGTGTTTGTTGAATTGTTATGATATTGGTCTAATAATTAATAGAGCACTATTAATAGAGGGAAACACCTTAAACATAAAAGTTTTTCTTAAAATTGGAAGATTTTGTGTGATAAGATTTAAATTGTAATGATTTATTATACAGTTGCCTCTCTGTGATGTTAGTTGATAATAAAAGGACTTACGAATTTTAAATGATAGAATTTTGGGTTCATTTCATGAATATTTAAATGGTAGAAACTGAATTAATCTATAGCACCTTTTATCTAAGTTTAAAATGTCCTTGACTCTTGATCATATACTTCATTTTTTAAAATTAAATTTATTGGGGTGGCATTGGTTAATAATATTATATAGGTTTCAAGTGTATAAGTCTATAAATTCTATAATACATCATCTATATATAGCATTATGTGTTTACCACCCAAAGTCAAATGTTCTTCTGTCACCATATATTTGACCCTCTTTACTCTTTACTACCTCTCCCCCAACCCCCTTCTCCTCTGGTAACCACCATACTGTTGTCTGGTCTATGAGTTTTTGTTGTCTTGTTTGTTCATTTGTTGTTTTCAGTTTTATATCCCATATGAGTGGAATAATAAGGTATTTGCTTTTTCTATCTGACTTATTTAGCTTAGCATGATATTCTTAAGAACTATCTATGTTGTCATAAATGGCAGTATTTCATCTTTTCTTATGGTATTCCATTGTATATATGTACCACATTTGTTTTTTAAACAAATTTATTGAGATTAATTCAAATATCATACATTTAAAGTGTGCAATTCAATAATAGATTTTAGTATATTCAATAATATGTGCCACCATCACCATAGTCAACTTACATTTTTCATTACATCAAATACCATATGATTTCATTAATATGTGGAATATAATGAACAAAATAAACTGACGAACAAAATAAAACCAGAAGCATGGATACATGGAACAGACTGGCAAGTGCCAGAGGAAAGGGGGTGGGGGTAACTGGATAAAGAAGGTGAAGGAATTAGCTAAAGAACATGTATGCATAACCCATGGACAGGGAAAATAGTGTGGTGAAGGCCAAGGGAGGAGGAAACAGAGGTGAGTGGAGGTGGGAAAAGGTGGGTTATTGGGGGACATCTGCAATAGTGTTGACATAAAAATTTTAATAAATAAAAATAAAACTGTTACCATTTTGGCTATCACCTCCCATTCCTCTCCCCAACCTGCCCTAAGCAGCCAGTAATCTATGTTCAGTCTCTATAGATTTGTCCATTCTGGACATTTCACTTGCATGGAATTGAGACTGACTTCTTTCACTTAGCATTATGTTTTCAAGGATCATTCATGTTGGGCATGTATTAGGTACTATATAGTTTTTCATTGTCATGTAATATTCCATGATGCGGATATATAAGATATTATGCATTGCTCGGTTGATGGACATTTGAGTTGTTTCCATCTTTTGGCTGTCATGAATAATGCAACAATAAGCATTCATGTACAAGTTTTTTATGGACATAAGTTTTCATTTCTCTTGGGTGTATACTTAGGGATAGAATTGCTGGGTCATATGGTAACTCTATATTTAATTATTTAAGGAACTGCCAGACTCGTTTTCAAAGTGACTACACCATTTTGCATTACCATAAGAAGTGTATGAGGGTTAAAATTTTTCCACATCCTTGTTGATGTTGGTCAAACATTTAATTAACTCACTTTAGTCAAGCCATCTTAGTGGATGTGAAGTGTTATCTCATTTTTTAAATATATTTTTATTGATTTCAGAGAGGAAGGTAGAGGGAGAGAGAAATAGAAACATCAATGATGAGAGAGAATCATTGGCTGTCTACTGTACACCCCCTATTCGGGATCTAGCCCGAAACCCAGGCATGTGCCCTTGACAGGAATCGAACCGGGGACCCTTCAGTCTGCAGGCCCATGCTCTATCCACTGAACCAAATCAGCTGGGGCTCATTGTGGTTTTGATTTGTATTTCCCTGATGACTAAAGATGTTGACCATCTATCTGTGTGCTTATTGGCCATTTGTATATCTTTGGAGAACTATCTATTCAGGTTGTTTGCCCATTTTTAAATTGGATTATTGGTCTTTTATTATTGAGATGTGTGAGTTTCTTATATATTCCAGATTCAAGTCCCAGATCAGATATATGATTTACAAATATTTCTCTAATTCTGTTATTTTTTTCTCTCTTGATAGTGTCCTTTGAAGCATAAATTTTTTTCATTTTGAAGAAGTTAAATTTATGTTTTTCTTTTGTTAGTCAGACTTTTGTTATTATAGCTCTAAATCCATTGCCAAATATGAGGTCATGAATATTTACCCAGGTGTTTTCTTCTACTGAGATATAG